AAGAGCTACGGAAGCTTCAGGGAACTACAGAGGCCATCCGTTGGAAAAGCTATTGGACATCTGTCTGGCCAAGGCTACCCAGCTCCTCCTCTCTGAGAGTCTGTCTTCTCCCCTTTGCCCAGGAAACTCAGGTTGCCTAGCCCTTGAATCCACTCGATCTAAGACTCTTTGGGCACAGGGACCCTTTTTCCATCTCCAGCTTTCTTATTCTCGGCCTGCCACCAGCTTCTCTGTATGTCTAGCCAGGAGAGTCGACTGGGTGCTTGCTTCCTGCAACATTGTGTTCTCCCTTGGACCTCCTCCCCTCTTACCCTTTCCCAGAAAAATCAAACGCCGTTTTCTGCTCCTGTCCCATGAATCCATTGGGTCTGCGGATTTGGTAGGCTCCCCTCCCGCCAGCATCCTCCTCTGACTAACGGAGGTCTGCACATCCGCCCTTTGCCCACTTGCTCTCTTTCTCCTGCCACCCTTAGAGTTCCACACTTAAGTTCAGTCCAGTTAAGTCCTAACAAAGGACCCAGTGTGGAAATTACATGAAGAGGAGAGCAGATGAATCAGTTCAACATGGAACAAGGAGTCGACAACCAGAGGGAAGGGTTAATGCCCATTTTTAAAGACTATGTCTCCAAGTGGCTATGGATTGGGCTGCTAACCACAAAGTCAGCAGTTCGAAACCACCAGCTGTGGCTTTCTACACATACTTTGGACATGTTTTCAGGAGAGACCAGTCCCTGGAAAAGGCCATCATGCTTGGTAATACAGAGCGGCAGCGAAAAAGAGGAAGGCCCTCATCGAGATGGATTGACCCAGTGGCTGCAACCATGGGCGCAAACCTAAGAACATTGTAGGGATGCTGCAGGACCAGGCAGTGCTTCACGCTGTTAACAGGATCACTGTGAGTCAGAATCATCTCAGTGGCACCTAACAACAAAGAGATCAAGTCCCAGTCTCCCACAGAGCTGCCGGTGTTTTTGAACTGCCAACCATGCAGATCCCAGCTGACAGAAGCCTAACCTTGTATTTCTGCTAAGAGTAATAGTTCTGTATTTATTCATTCAGTATTCACAGTAACTAGATAGGACCTAACTCTCACATCTAGCAAGAATATAAGCAATCTAACTTAAATTTGCCAGTATCCCTGTATTTTTAGAAAAGTCAGAAGAATGGAATGAGATCAGTCATGAGGCAGAATCCAGCACACACAGAGCAGCCACCCGACTCCAGCAGCAGAAGCACACCAGATTCTGTTGGCTCTCCCAAGATGCGCTATGCCACGGCCCCAGCATCCTTTGCATCCGAGAGGAAGGGGCCCACAACATCAAGATTGAGAGAAAATCTCCCTTATGGTTTAAAGAGATCCCCTTGGAGGGTGGCTTAGAATCCCTGAGCAGATGAGGTGCAGGTTTGCTTTTTAATATATAATATTTTTATTGACATCTCTTACTCATTCCAATAGTCCCCTCCTTCCCATACAGTGCTGCAGTCAGTCCCATCAGGTGGGGCTATACAGTCATCAATGCTGTGCACTTCCCTCTCTCCCCTACCTGCCTCTCACTTCCCATACCCTCAGAGGACCCTCCCTGTCTCGGAGGGGTCCTCTGTCTGGACTACCATGTACCGAGTGATCTTAAATACACAAGTGATCATACGCAACTAACATGTTGAATGAGGTTTATCACATAAAGACCTTAATAGTACCGGGAGGAAATCTTAAAGAACTAGGGCATAGTTATATGCCACAGTGCACCCTGGATTTATCCTCGGTTCGTGTGGCCCTTCTGAGAGGGACTAACCAGTTGTCTTGCTGGTGGAGTTCAGGTCTCCACTACCTCCACTTCCCTTCAGATCACTTTGGCTGCGTGTTTTCTGAACTGATACTTTTCCCAACGAGATGTGATTCTTCCATGTGGGCTTTGTTGCTTCTCGGCTAGATGACCATACGAAAGCCACAAACGGACACGGGGAAAAGTGGAGTGTTAATGTTGTGCTTCTTTTCCTTCCTCAGTTTTTGAGCTACCCGAATCACAGCACGTTGCTGTTTTACTCCCTCCCGCCTCCTGATGAGAAGGAAGTGTTCGACAAGCTGAGCGTTGTCGCAGAAGATTTACCAAGCAGCTGCAGCCTCAGGATGTCAGCCCTGCGGGGATCCATGGAGCCAGGCTCCGAGAAGGAAACGCATTCCACCAGCCAAAGCCACCTCCCAGTTGTCACGTCGGCCTCTGAGGGGGACCAGAGTGCCAAGCAAGGGCCCACCCTCCTTGTGCAAAGCCCAGCTCTAGAACTCTCAGACACTAGACCTGTCTAAGCAGCAAAGAGCTGTCTTTATGGGCTCATTGGACTTCTTGGACTCACTGCTTTATTTATTCTTTTGTTTTTTCTTCTTTAAAGTTGGCCACTGGGGGAGAGGAGAATCTTTTTCATTCTCTTATGCCCTGGGTAGCCAAACAGTTAAGCGCTTGACTGCTGACTGAAAGATTAACACTCTGAGTATGACCGGAGGCACTGTGGAAGAAAGGCCTGCCAATCTAGTTCCCAAAAACTGAGCTATTGGAAAAACCCTGCAGAGCCCAGTTCTACTCTGACCCTCCTGGGCTCCCCAGGAGTCAGTGTCGATTCAATGGCAACTAGTTTGGTCTGCTCACTAAATTAAGGACCTGGTTTTAACTGTAAGAAACAGAATTCGGTAAACTGAGAACTAGAAACCGAGATACTGCAAAATCTCTGCCGACAGACTGAGCTGAATGACGACAGCCTCAACCCAGTGGTGTCAGCTCAAGCCTGTGCAGAGCACCAACGTGTGTGATTCTCAGGGATACCGTGACTGAGTGTTTTTCTACTGGGATATGTTTTATATCTCTGCTGGTGCACGTTAATAACTCTAGATTCGGTCTGTTGTCAGCTCGTAAGGCTCTGTTGACTACTTTTGGTGTCTGTTCATTTGACAGGTATTTTCTTAGTCCCTGCCTACTGTCAGTCAGGCAGTGTGTTAAGTACAGGGTCCCAAAGTCCTCTGGGAGCTCCCTCAGCTGGGCAACTCCAAAAAAGTCAAAGGTCCCTGGGCATTGAATTCCACGTCAGACACTGACTAGCCCGGGACATCTCAGTTTCCCCATGTGTACATAGTAGTCACTCAATAAACGGAAACACCATTTCATGAGTTTGACATGAACTTCAGCAACTTAAGTCAGCAAGAACTACCCCTTCCTCAGTGCCCGATTGCCCAAGAAAGTGCCCAGATATAGGGGAAACACATTTTTAAGTCATTTGACTTTAAAAAACAAAGCATCAGGGACTTGGTTGGCCTTCCTTCTACTCGTTTTGTATTTCAATATTTTTAAATTATTTTCAACAGCATACTGCAAGGAAGTACTGCCATATCTTAGTTCTTAGGAACACTAAAGATCTGGAGCTACTCCTATGATGAGAGAAATTCGTAAATTTTATTAACCGCCCACCCCCCACCCCCGAGAGTCCTTGTTGTTTTGTTGTTGTAGTTGTACTTGGGTGCTGTCAGATTGTTTCCAACCCCCACCAGCCCTGTGTACAGTAGAACAAAACTGCTCAGTCCTGCCCCATCCTCACCCTCCTCCTTGTACTCCAGCCCATTGCTACTGCCCCTATGGCAGTCCACCTCCCTGAGGCGCTTTCTCTTCTTCGCTGACCGGTTTTAGCCAATGCTGGCGTCCTTTTCCAGGGACTCGTCTCTCCTGTTAACATGTCCAAAGTACGTGAGATGAAGTCTTGCCATTCTCACTTCTAAGGGGCCTTCTTGCTGCACTTCCTCTGAGACATTTGCATGTTCACCTGTCCGTCCATGGAACGTCAGTATTCTTCACCCAGCACCATGATTCAAATACCTCAATTCTTCTGCAGTCTCCCTTATTTATTGTCCAGCTTTCCCACGCATAGGGGGCTATTAAAATACTGTGCCTTGGGCTAAGCACACCATCATCCTCAACCTTACACGTTGGCGCTTGAATACTTTAAAGAGGTCTTAGGCAGCGCATTTGCCCAATGCAATACATCGTTTAATTTTTTTGATTGCTGCTTCTATAACGGTCGACTGTGGATCCAAATAAAACTAAATCGTTGACAATAGCAGTCTTTTCTTCCTTCATCATCTACTGATCCAGTTATGAGGATTTTTTATTTCCTTTTTGTCGCGTTGTAATCCATATTAAAGGTTGTAGTCATTGGTCTTCATCAGCAAGTGCTTCCAGTCCCCTGTCTTTCTGCAAGTAAGCGTATGTCCTCTCCATATAACTGGTGAACATCCCTTCCATCCCGATACCGCATCCTTCATCGAGCCCCGTTTCTCCTATTATTTGTCCAGCATACAGATTGAAGAAGTGTGGCGAAAGGATGTGAACTTCTCCTGATTTTAAACCATGAAGTATTCCCTTGTTCTGTTTGAAAGAGTGCTTTTCGGTTTATGTACAGCAGGAGTGTGGAGCGTCTGGTCTATACAAAGCCCACGAAATTATCGATACCAGTTAACATCACACCGCTCCCCAAAGAAAAGCAGTTCCAGCCATCACATGAAGTTGAGTGAATTAGATGTTTGACCAGCATGGCCCTCAAATGATGTCATAAATATCCAATGGTCTTTGGCAGTAGAAAGGTTCCTCACCCCAGATGTACAGGTTCTGCATGAGCACAATTAAATCTAGAATTCCCATTTGAGTTACTCCGGGTAGACTAGAGAAACAAATCCATAGAAACCCATATGTGTATAAGAAAGAGTTTTATAGAAAGGGTAATTATACAGTAAGAAAGCATCCCAACCCAGTCTAAATCAAGTTCATAAGTCCGGTATTAGCCCATATGTCTGATACCATTCTCTAAAGTCTTCTTCAGACTCACAAAACACATGCAAGATTCCGAATGCAGGACGGTCACAGGCCAGTGGGTAGAGAGTTTTGGATCCAGTGGCGTAAACATCTCAGCGCTGGCAGGGATCTCCACGTGGCTTCTCCAGCACCCAGGGCTGCCTCAGGCTAGGTTCATCTGGCTTCTCCTCAGGGATGTCTCCTAGGGAGTCAGCCTTGTCAGTAGAGAGTCTCCAAGCGACTCAACAGAAAGAGAAACATCTCCCGCCTCCAAGGAGGAAAATACAGGAATTGCCAGAATTCTCAGGAGAAGGCCATGCCCACACAGAGGCCTCATTGGTTAGATCTTGATTGACAGCCTAGACTCCACCCCTATACTCAACCCTCAAATTGACACCAGATTATGTAACTACCACACCATTCTTCTCAATGCTATCCATAGTTTGTATGATCCACAAATGCCTTTGCATAGTCAATAAAACATAAGTAAGCATCTTTCTGATATTCTGTGCCTTTTATCATCTGATAAAGGCAAGGATATCTCTTATTCCATGTCCTCTTCTGAATCAGGCTTGAATTTATGGCAACTTTCTGTGATGTACTGTTGCCACCTTTTTAAAATTATCTGTAGCAAAACTTTACTTGTGTGTGATATTATTAATAGTGTTCAATAATTTCCACATTCTGTTGGGCATTTGCTTTTGGGATGGGCATAAATAGGGAACTCTTTTGGTTGGTTGGCCAGATACCTGTCTTCCAAATTTCTTAGCCTAAACTAGTGAGTCCTTCAAACGCTGCATCAGTTTTCTGAAACATTTCCATTTGTATTCCATCAGCTCCTGCTCCTTGTTTTTCTGCAGTGTTTCAGTGCAGCGGGAACTTTTCCCTTCAACATCATCAGTTCTTGATCAGATGCTACTTCTTGAAATGGGTGGATGTCTAATTTTCCCCCCGATACAGTGAATCTGTGCATTCCTTTATCTTCCTTAGAGGCTTCCTGCACCATTAAATATTTTGCACACACAGCAGCTAGCCTAGATACAAGAGCGTTGGTACACAGTAAGCAGAAAATGGAAACCCCTAACTCACAGAAATCTAGTTGATTCTGACTCATAATGATCCCTTATAAGGTTTTCTAATACTATAAATCTTGATGGGACCAGAGAGCCTCATTTTTTTTTTATAAACATTTTATTAGGGGCTCATACAACTGTTATCCCAATCCATACACACATCAATTGTGTAAGGCGTATTTGTACATCATTTCTCAAAACATTTTCTCTCCATTTAAACCCCCGACATTAGGTCCTCATTTTTCCCCTCCCTCCCTGCTCCCCCTTCCCACATGAGCCCTTGATAGTTTATAAATTGGTATTTTGTCATATCTTGCCCTGTCCGACTTCTCCCTTCATCCACTTTTCGGTTGTCTGTCCCCCAGGGAGGAGGTCACACACAGTTCCATGTAATCGGTTCCCTCTTCCCTACCCATTCTCCCTTTACCCTCCCTGTTTTGCCACTCACACCACTGGTCCTATAGGGCTCATCCATCCTGGATTCCCTGTATTTTCAGTTCCTATCTGTACCAGTGTACCTCCTCTGGTCTAGCCAGTCTTGCAAGATAGAATTCGAGTCATGGTAGTGGGAGCGGGGAGGAAACCTTTAGGAACTAGAGGAAGGTTGTATTTCTCATCATTGTTACATCGCACCCTGACTGGCTCATCTCCTCCCCGAGACCCCTCTGGAGAGCCTCATTTTTACTCCCTCAGAGCAGCCTGTGGGTTTCAACAGCCAACCTTGCCGTTAGGAGCCCAATGTCTAACCAAAAGCACCATCAATACAACTTTAATTTTCCAGTCAGAATTGTGTAAGCTGAATCAGTTGAGGTGTATATGGTGTTGGCTATTATTAATCAGAGTACAGGCAAGATTAATTGTTTTGCCTCGAGTACTGGTGTACATGGTCTAACTCTACAGGTTTCATATTCAATGGCAACTCCTCTCTTCTCAAAATAAGTTATCCATTTTTCAATGGCAGGTTTCTTTGGGGAAGTGTCCCCATCAACTTCGCATAAAGCATCAGTGATTTCACCATTCCTCGACCCATGCATCACCATAAATCTGATGTTTGTTCACGCTTCAGTTTCAGCAGAATTCATGTTGCTCTGGCCAGGGCTCTCCTTAAACGGATGCCTTCTCCTTACTGCTTCCAACCAGACCCTATTCGGACTTGTTATAACTCGTTTGATGAGCTTATTTTGATGTAAAAAGAAATTGTGAGATACATGCATGGTTTTTCCATAATATATATTTTCCCATGAACTTGAAGAGCCTTCATATTTGACCTACACTTCCTAGGAACCAGCGTGGTGCTGCCTCGGAGTTATCCTGACAGCCAACAAGGAAGGCTCCCGTTTGGGCTTCTAACCGCGAGAACTGCGAAAGAAGAAATGTATGAGAGGTCTTCCAAAAGTTGATGGGAAAATGGAATTGAAAGATAATGAAATTGCACCCTGAACTTTCTGAAGCCCCCTTGTATGTTCTATAAAGCCACTCACTGTGTAATTGTTTTACAACAGCTAACTAAATTAGCTGACAATATGCATTGCCTTTGAATCAACGCAGCTCATAGTAACTCTACAGGACAGGGTAGAACCATTCTATCCTGGTTGGTCTGAAATGCTACACTTCTGATTAATAGCCTGACACTTAGCACACTGACCCACCAGGGCATCTTCAATACTGCCCAGCAGCCACTGCCATGACGTCAACACCAACGCCAACTCTTAGTGTCAGAGCCACTATAGAGAGGCTTGGGGGCTGCTGTAAATCTTTAAGAGAGCAGCCTCATCTCACAGAAAGGGGCTAATGGGTTTGAATTACCTCACAGTTCTTCAATGCTTAACCGACAGTGCCACCAGGGCCCCTTCAGCTATCTAAATGACCCCATTAACTTTATCCCTCTGGTCTACATTTGACATTCTCCTTGCCTACCTTGGATCTGAATCCTTCTCAAATACTTAAGGAATGTTAAACACCTCCTCTCCCTGCTAGAATATAGACACAACAATCCTGGTGGCACTGTAAGGTAAGTATTGGACTGATAACCACAAAGTTGATAGTTCAAAGCCACCAGCCACTCTTCAGGAGAAAGATTGAGGCTGTCTGCTTTGGTAAAGATTTACAGCCTTGGAAACCCTACATAGGACCATGATGATTCTACGTCAACTGGATGACAGTGGGTTTGCTTTGGGGTGGGGGTGGGGTCCTGGCTCCTGGGCTGTATACATACAGCCTGGGCTCCATCCCACACTTTGAGAGGTACA